TAATTATGAAACATTTTACATGATGCTATTCTATAATCATTATACACTACATCATTACATTCTCACTAAAACTTAATGTAATTCTACTGGAATAAATCTCTTTATATGCTATTCTACTGGAATAAATATCTTTATATGATGCGGGGGATCACGTGGCTAAGTGGGTATAACGCTGGCTCGCTAGCCTGGAGTTCGGGTGTTCGATCCCTGCATTGGCCGAGAAAGTTCATCCAGATTTTCCGGCGTGGTTTCCCCTTGTCAGTTATGCAGGGTGGAGGGCCCGACAAGGACAGCTGTCTAGTCGTTCGGATGGTACGAAAAACCGAGATCCCATGTACACATTGGCGTGCACGTAGAAGATCCCTTGGCAGTTAGAATTCGATATAATAGGCCGTAGCGCCGCTGCCCGGGCAAAATTTCCCTCATAGCACACAGTATGGCGTATGCCCGTCTTCATTAGCCGAGGTTATGAGCAGAACAGTAGGACGCTAAACCCCATTTCATTTCATTTCATTTTATATGATGCTATTCAACTGGAATAATTATCTTTATATGATGCTATTCTACTGGAACAATTATGAAGCATCTTTGCATGATGCTATTCTGATACATCATCTTATTCTCATTAGACATTTACAATCTGAATTAAGATTACCCGAAAGATAAGAAAGGGTGTCTACTCTTGTTTATCTTCCATCGGTTGCTTTTAGATTTAATTAGTACCGGAACCAACAACAAAGGCTTTGTACATTGACATTTACCGATATGGATTATTGGAACCTATTGTTGTAGTGTATCTTTGTATACATTTTAATTATTAATGTTTAAGTTTTTCGGTGCGATTTCTCCTTGTCAGTGTTGCAGGGTGTATGGCCTGGCAAGGACAGTGTCTAGTCGTCCCGTGTACACATTGACGTACACGTAAAAGAGCCCTTGACAGTTGAAATTCGAAATAAGAGTAGACCGTACCGCCGCTGTCCCCCATAGCACACTACATGGCGTACAACCATCTCTATTAGCCGGATCGTTGCACTACAGCAATTGGTGGAGATGTCGGGTAGAATATTTTCTGGCGAAACCGTTCACCGAGTGAAGTCATTAGCCATAGAGTTAGCCTTTACTCCTAGAAAATAATTCAGCATTATCATCGAATTGTTTTATTTTTAAAACTCATTTAGGATTTAATTTTAGTGGCATCCAAATATGAGCTCGACTTATTGAAAAAATCAGAAGAAATTGAAAACCTATGTATTAATCCTTAAAGGCTGTGTGCATCATTTACACTTTTCGAAATATATCTAATTTACAACGGCTTAAATGTTGGCCGAGAAAAGTCATCGGGATTTTCCGGCTAGGTTTCCTCTTGTCAGTGGTGCAGGACGGAGACCTGACAAGGACAGTTGTCTAGTCGTTCGAATAGGACAAAAATAGAGGCCCCGTGTACACATTGGTGTGCACGTAAAAGATCCCTTGGCAGTTTGAATTTGGTATCAGAGTGGACCGTAGCGCCGCTTTGTATTAATATTGCTAGAATTTTTGCTCTTAAAATTAATGGGGGCAGTATATTTCATTAAATAATATCTTTGGTGGCAAGTTGTTAAATTCACATATATGTAGAATTGTACTAAAATCAACTTAGTGAATAAGTGACAGTTGACACATAAAAAGAGTTATAGAGACAAAACATAGCTGGTTGTATGTGTCAATAAAATACCACGAGATTACACGTGCTGGGAAATTTACTAATTACATCATTTGGCTAAAGTAACCAATCATATCAGAAATTGCACAGGTTCAAGGCTATGAACAGGCTTTTCTGTGCATGATATCCATGAGCCCTATAAAAGAAATCATAGTAAACTTTTAAGTCAAACTTTCATTAGATTCCAGAGAGTTTACCATCTGAGTTCCTAGACAACAGACAGATTCTGGAAGGGAAAAGATGTAACCATTTCTATCAGCAGACTCGTCCATATGGAGTCTGGCTGGCCAGGGTCTGAAAATGACTTTAGTATTGTAATCTATACTATGCTTATATGTATCCAGCTTGATATATAAAATGTAAAAACGAACAGTTGCATTGTTATAACTACTGAGAAGACAAACGTCTTAAGAAAACAGTAAGAAGTAAATACACGTGAAGCAGAAGCAAAGACAGCTAGAGACAAATTCTAGACGATCACAAGGCTACTAAGATATGTAGTAAAAAAAGATGCATGGGTAGCACGTAGGATGTGGCGATCGGTTTTGCAACGCCCGCTCTCCGCGTCGGACAGAAAGGCCCATGGTGCTACAGCTTTCCGGGCAAAATTTCCCTCATTGCACACTATATGGCGTATGGCGTATGCCCGTCTTTATTATCCCAGTTGGAGCAAAACAGTAGGACGTCAAACCCATTTCATTCATTCGTTAGTACCATAAACAAAATAAAATTATAACGATAGATAATCTTCCGTCTTTGATTGAATTTGGTTTAAAAGAGGCCTATCGAAAGATTTTATCGAAGAATACAGATTGTTCTTGCTTTCTACCATGCCCCGTTTAAATTGTCTACAGAGAATTGCGAATTTCGGTTCAACATACTGAACGATACAGAACCATTTTTGGGTATTAATATTCAACATTCAGAATATTGTAGTGTGCAAGAGATTCCTTAATTTCAACAAATAACACTCAGAGAATTTAAAAGACAACTTCACATTAGAAATTATTTTTCCGATTTGAAAATCCATCTATAGTTCCATTGTTGCATCTTTGAATCACATTTTGTATGCACAATTCATGACAAATCAGCCAATCTGTTTCAGCAATAACTCGGTCATTTCGAGATACTAACATATTATGTTTCAATAATTCGTTTGTAGGATCGAAACCACACCCACTATACTCAATGACAAACTTTATGACCTAAAGTGCACGTGTTGAACCATTCGACACCCAGTTAATGCGAGTACAGGTTTTGGGGTGTGCCGTGTAATTTCATGTTGGCACAGAAAGCAATGATGCCAAGGGCAACATTCACACCAAACAAAATATACCATTGAAATATCACGGCTGACCCAAACGACTATTCAGACACGTTGATCAAACAAAGTCAAAATAAAGATCTATAAACTTGGCTATTAATATGCTTAATACTGGGGGATCACGTGGCTAAGTGGGTAAAACGCTGGCTCGCTATCCTGGAGGTCGGGTGTTCGATCCCTGCATTGGCCGAGAAAGTTCATCCAGATTTTCCGGCGTGGTTTCCCCCTGTCAGTGATGCTGGACGGAGGGCGTGACAAGGACAGCTTTTCTAGTCGTTCGGATGGGACGAAAAACCGAGGTCCCGTGTACACATTGGCGTGCACGTAAAAGATCCCTTGGCAGTTTGAATTCCATATAAGAGTAGGCCGTAGCGCCGCTGCCCGGGCAAAATTTCCCTCATAGCACACTGCATGGCGTATGCCCGTCTTCATTAGCCCAGGTTAGGAGCAGAACAGTAGGACGTTAAACCCCATTTCTTTCATTTCATTTTTGGTTTCGAATCCCCGGTTGTACGTGGCAAGGAGTAGGGTCGCCTGTCCAACCTCGTGGGTTTTCTCCGGGGCCTCCGGTTTCCTCCCACTGCTAAAGACCCCTACGCGCAAGCGAATTATGTAAATAAAATTAAACCATATGTTAGTCCCGAAATGACCTAGTTTGTGTCGAGTGGACGTTAAACCCCATTTCTCTCTCTCTCTTTTATTTCATTTTTGATTAATACTGCTCTGTCACATTACTATGATTAATCTGATGATAAATTGTCAACTTGTGCGATATTCCCACCTGTTACAGCAAAATTTCGTTCCGACTTAATAGATTGTTGTTCTTTTCCTTAAAAGATCTAACTAAAAATATTGTCAATGTAAATTGTTAACTAGTCTGATGTTTCCGGGGGGGGGGGGGGGGAATGGCCGAATAGTTAGCACGTGCGAGCTGTATCATAAGGCCTGTCATTGAGTCAATTGGCGTGGTTTCGAATCCCGGTTGTACGTGACAAGGAGTAGGGTCGCCTGTTTTCACCGGATCCTCCGGTTTCCTCCCACTGCTAAAGACCCCTAAGCACAAGCGAATTATTAAAAATAACAAATGAAACCATATGTTAGTCCCGAAGTTATGTGGAAGTTAAACCCCATCTCTCTTTACCGGGGCCCTTTATGATTGTGAAGACTTAAAAATCTCTGCGCGAAAATTATTCTTTTTTTTTACCTAAAATATTTGTTGTTTTGGAGGATTAAAATGCCTTTTTTTGCTCGTTAATTTTTTTTCTTTCTTTCTTTTTTATTTTATTTTTGAAAGTCTGTTCGAAAATGATATTTTTTTGCTTAAAATATGGGTTCTTTTTGGATGGAGATGCCCATTTTGTCCATGAAAATATCGAGATACATTTACCCACCCAAACCCCACACACGTCCTGTTCAATACTAGAGTATGTGTATTACATGGGAATCTAGTATTGTGTAATATAGGTTTCATTTCACTTTTCAAGTATTCTTTTTTCTAATTTTGGTATGAATACGAAAGGGGCTTGACTCCCCCCAAACATTAATAATTCGTAGCTGTCTATCAACCATAAACTGTTAAAGATACATTATGGGAGATTAAAGAACTGGCAGTTCTCTCTATAATAGTTAAAAACTAGATAATGTAAAAGGGAATTTGCTGAAAATTTCAGTCAAATTCATCCACACTGAACTGAGAATTTAGCGATTGAATTTTCGGCCTAGCCTCGATCATCATTACTAAAGTCGGTATGATAAAAAAACATAGTCTCGATTATCAATTTCATGATTAAATCATGAATGAAAGTTGAGCAGCAAATCGGATCCTAATCCAGCAAATATCGCAGGCTAGCGATGACATCGAGAGTTGGTTATTATCTTGATAAGTTAATTAATGTCTAATGAATAATTTAGATAACATTTCAATCCTAAAGCCCAATTCAAATGCTACTATTATTATCTATTCCTTTTTTTCAGATATGTTTAAAATGTGGATTTGTAAGAAGTGGCTATAGAGTAAAGCCATCTGTGTATTTGATGTTATGTGTATTTACCCTAATATCTTTAATTTATTTCAACAACAATTCAGGTAAGTTTAGAGGGGCATTAGGTAAGATTAGATAACGAGCTGGCAGTTCTGGCTTTAATGGTTAATAAATAGATAATGAAAACAGAAAATGCTGAACATTTCAGCCAAATTGATTCATACTGAACCGAGATATGAACGATTCAATATTTGGCTAGCCTCGGTCATCATGACTAACGTTGGTTCTATAATAATCAAAGTCTCGATTATCCATTTCACGTTAAATTATCCACCTCATAATATATTCAAATCCACTAAACATCACAGGCTTACGATGGCAGATTTATCTCTTGCATAGAGCATGTTTAAGATCCAAAGAAAGACCTGCAATAGGCAGATTTAGCTCTTGCATAATTCATGTTTAAAATAAATGAACGTGAACAAGACAATCATGAAATTCAGATGCACCATACAACTCTTGTTCTCCCGTCCATCATTTCTAGTGTAATTCAATAAACATACATTATGCAGGAGCTAAATCTGCCTATTGCAAGTCTTTATTTAGGCTTCAGATGTTAAAAAATTATTTACACGGCAAGCTCAATTTCAACTCTGTAGACCCACGGATGGCTTGGATACAGTTTGGATTTAAACAGTCGTCCATTTAAAATTAAATCAATAAATGGCGGACCAAGCTAACGTTTACCGTTAGTCGCTGATGTCACTACCGGAAACTGGTGATGAAAGGCCTGCCAAGCGAGGCTACCATAGCCATCGAGCATGTTACTTGATAATTGAGAATATGTATTTATGTCAACATATCTCCCAACAGGACCGGTTGTAGGAAATGCGGGATCCAACTTGGAAAGCCCGACGTTACAGGATATGAATACATTGCAGGGTATGAATAACTTTAACTAGGCCTATATTCATTCATATTTAAGGCCATCTATGCTTCACTTCACAATTGGTATGTGTACAGTATCATAGTAAAATTTGTAGCTTCATTTTTTGTTGCCTATCCAACAAACCAAGAAATAGATCCACAAATCTGATTTTCACTCGTGCTCCAGTAATAGTGAAATGATAAAAAAAATATAGATGTGTACTGCACATATTTTAGCTTTAGCTCCACAAATCTGATTTACATTCGCGCTTCAGCAATAACAAAATGATAAAAAAATATAAGATCATAGATATGTACTGCACTTTTCATATTTTAGCTGCAGTTTTTGTTCTCTATCCAACAAATCAAGAAATAGCTCCACAAATCGCACTTTTCTTTAAAGTTGCAATTTCATATTTTTACGTTATATTTTTAAAATCTATCAAAATAAAGCCTTAAAATAGATGGTATTTATAAACAGTCCTACCTTGTTAAAGAATAATCCTATTAATCCTATAATTCACAATTGCCAGTTGAGAAATTGGCAAAAATATCCTTTTCCACTTCAAATTCAAACGTTTGAGGATAGCTACTCCATAGTGGAGAATAGAAAACAGGGGAGGTAATTGGGAGGTAATTGTGTTATCATTTCCGGTGTAAATGAGTTTTAAGAGTGAGAATGACACCTATAATCGTATGATAATGAGTTGACAACCTATTGAGCAAAAGACATAGAAATAATTATGTTTTGACTTTCTTAGAAAATATGAAATTGTAACTTTAACTCGTTGAACTGTTTTATAGAAAACCGATTAGATTTTCACTTCGATTTTTTTTATCTATCCAACATACCCGAAATTAGTACTACAAATCTGTTTTACACTAGCGCTTCGTCAATAACGAAATGATGAAACAAATATAAGAATAGGTCGAGTAGACAACCAAGTTCATAGATATGTAAGTAGGTCTATACTGCACTTTTCTTTTGTAACTCGCTGAACTGCTTTATCGATTGGCGATTTCGTTCGTTTGACACGTTTCACTCTGATCGGATAAATTAGTGGTCAGGCAACAGGCGGTATCTGGACAGATCTATTTATCTCGACGATCAGTACCTGAAATACTGCCAGACTGCATTTACCGGCAGTCTGTTTTTCAAGACAGAACCCCCCCCCCCTTCCCAACCCCTAGTTGAAGCTCGCGGCTTTGCCCATTTAAACTTAGACTTTAACACAGCTTTGCCCCCTCCCCTCCAACCACCGGCCGCTAGCGCCGCCACTACCTCCGCCAGCTTCCGCAACGGCCCCCAACCACCTTCTTCTACCCTTCCAATCGTTTTCTGCCCATTGCAAACTGATGATAATGTTAATGATGATGCTGATGATGAAACAATTTTTCCATGCATTCGATTTTATTCGAGTCCTCGATTGTTCACATACAGACTGTAATACCTCAGTTAGAATGGTTTAGGGGACCTGTTCTCGGATGTAGAGTATTGAACCCACTAAATTTATATTATTGATATACACTTGTAATTTCCTTGGATGTGAGTATGTGTGTGTACTCGGTTGTTGGCGTTTACCATACACAGCGTCTCTATTTGTCCATATTAAAACATAATATGCGTGCTTGGTTGATCACATTAATAAATGACTGTTGTATCGCGATATTGTACCATAAATAAATATTAAACGGTTATATTGTCTTTTTTTCCCATGTGTGATCAAAAGGGGTGGTGGGGGGGGGGAGGGGAGAAAACGTAGTTATTTACAGGTCAAAGACCACAATAAATGTCAAGTCCACAGTATGACATCGTTTGGTGGCGTTCCGAACATACACCATGCGTGTCCTCGGTTAGGCGTAACTAGCATAGGTGCTCAGTCAGTCGTATTTCCCAATTGTCTGCAACCATCTATGTGTCCGCATTTCTTCTGTAAAAAGTCAAATGCATACAATATATAAATTGAGGTATTATTTATATTTTTTCTAAATCGTTTGATGTACTAGAGTACAGAAATAACGGTGATTTTTAGTTACGTGGAATATTTATAAATATATGTATTTATGTGTGTCTGTTGGTCGCATACAGGGCACAATTCCTAATAGATTGTCTTGAAACTTCGCATACTTATTCTTTATACACTAAGGACGATTCCTATTGTTTTCGGTGCATTCCTGAATCCTAGGGGCAGAGCCACGCCCAAGTTTTCTGTTTATAGTATACAGGCTGCAATTCTGAATGGATTATCTTGGAACTTGGCATATGTATTTCTTATGGCATGTCCCGACCTCCAGGAGCAGAGCCACCCCAATTTTTCAGTTTATCGTATACATCTTGGAACTTGGCATAGGTATTCCTTATTGCCGAAGGAGGACAACTATTGATTTTGGCGCATAATCCGACCCCCTTGGGAAGTGCCACACATCCTTTTTTGTTAATATTTTGTCTGTAAATTTTGCAAAACAAACACACCGCCTAGCCTTCTTTGCCTCGTGTCATATTACTGTCCTTTCACCCATTTAATATTTCATTCTCTATCAATCAAGAGAGAGAGAGAGAAATGGGATTTAACGTCCACTCGACACAAACTAGGTCATTTCGGGACTAATATATGGTTTAATTTTATTTACATAATTCGCTTGCGCATAGGGGTCTTTAGCAGTGGGAGGAAACCGGAGGACCCGGAGAAAACCCACGAGGTTGGACAGGCGACCCTACTCCTTGCCACGTACAACCGGGGATTCGAAACCACGCCAGTCGACTCAATGACAGACTTTATGATACAGCGCGCGCACGCTAACCATTCAGCCATCCACCCCACCCCCCCTCTATCAATCAAAGCAGGAATGTGGACGTATATTGCAGCGGTGGCGATGCTCTCGTTAAATTAAATCATTGACTGACAATCGTATTTAAAGTTGTTGAAAGTCTCGAGGATATGATGGCATCGAGAGTTGATTATGGTCTTGCCAAGTTAATAAATGTCTAATTAATAATTTATAAAGTCCTGCAATAGGCAGATTTAGCTCTTGAATAATGACTCTTTAAAGAGGGAATACTTAGATTGCCTGGGCGGTGCCCTTATTCAACAAAAGATAAAACTAACATATTTTAGGGATACAGATTAGCCCAAGGCTAATCAAAGGGCTGCAATCTTAAAATATTTTCGTTTAAGCTTTTTTGCAAACATGATATCGTGTTTAGTGTATGTCTCCACCAGGACATGCTGCACCCCAAAAAAAAGTTCTAGTCACAAATATCCCCTCAATATCGCTAAATGAAAGGACTGAATATTATTTTGTCAATTTTTTTTCACCGATGAATATTATTTTGTCTTATATTTTCACCGAGAAAGTATTATTTTATCTACTTTTTCACCGATAAAATATTATTTTGTCTACTTTTTCACCGAGGATTATTTTCAGCAGAAACAAGGTCCAGAGAAGAATGTCTGTATTTCAATCAATACACAATACATGTAAGTGATTTTTTTTGTATTTTAGCAATGGGATCAAGGGCCAGACTGACTAATAGTTCCGACTCAAGATTATGGCAGCTTCTACGGAGCTTAGGGTCAGGTATTGGTGTAACAACACATGTAAAGGATGATAGAAAGAGAGTTATCCTTGTCACATATCCTCGAGGCGGAAGTACGTTTACTGCTGATGTTATCCAGGCAAACAGTGATGTTTTCTTTATATTTGAACCACTTTATCCAACATTGGTAGAATACACGGGTAAAGATTTACTAATAACAGATAATGGTATAAAGAAAAGGTAATAATATACTTATATATTCTCAGAAAAAAGTTCCGGTGTGCAAAACGGAGGGCCTGACAAGGACAGCTGTCTAATGGGATGAAAAACCGAGGACCCGTATATATACATTGGCGTGCACGTAAAAGATCCCCTGGAAGTTGGAATTCGATATAAGAGTAGGCCTTAGTGCCGCTGTCCGGGCAAAATTTCCCTCATAGCACACTGTATGGCGTATGTCCGTCTTCATTAGCCCAGTAGGAGCAGAACAGTGTGGCATAAAACTCCATTTCATTTCTCAGAAAAAAGGGGTGGTGATGTGTGGAAATGGTCTAATCTCATACTTACACGCGACAAGCAGTCCGACTATCTATTTGTTTATCTGGGTTCTTCGGTTACCTACCACCACTACAGATCCTTGCGCGCAAGCAAATTATTCAGATTTACACGTTAGTCCGGAAATGACGTACTGCAACGAAATAATTCCTCCGGTTTCATCCCACTGCTAAAGACCCCTACGCACAAACGAATTATTGAAATGAAACCTAGTTTGTGTCGAGTTGACGTTACCCCCCACCCCCCTCTCTCTCTCTCTCCCTCTCTCTCGAATGGATAAATGAGATACAAGGGCAATCGCTTTAAGTTGTGATGTTCATAAATGCATCCACCCTTGTTTATTTACAGAATTAAAAGAAATATGACGTCATATACAGAAGAAGTGAAGAAAGTAATGAAGGCGTTTTTAAACTGTGATTCTAGCTTATTTGACTTGCCCCTTTATGTTTTAAAAAGTCCACTTTTACGTGTTCGTGACGATACTTCTCCATTATATGAATGTGCAGTTAAAATAGAAAAATATAACCAAACTCTTATATCACATTGTGTGAAGAAATATATAAAATCATGTGAGAAAAAAAAAATTATCCTTGTTAAGACAATTCGATATCCATCTGAAATCCTATACAATCAAATGAAGAACGATCCTAATTTGTATGTAGTGTATTTGATGCGCGACCCCAGAGGTATCATTTCATCCCAGATGACAAATTTTCAAAACTTCGAGTGGAAAAATATTAATCGTGCATCAAAAGAGATTTGCACTTTAATGGAGAAAGATATTCAAGTAATGGAGGCTCTACATGACCTGTATCCAGACAGAGTTAAGTTAATGCGATATGAATCGATAGCATTCAATCCTCTCGGTGGTGCTACTGATATTTACAAATTTTTAGAATTAAATTTAACAAAAAATGTTACAAACATTATAAAAAAGCACACCAAATCCAATGAAACGAGCTGTAGTATTGGCTGTACTGTGCGCAAAAATTCCAAAAGTGTACCATATAAATGGCGGGTTGGTGCCAATTTTAAATATATGCAAAAAATAGACAGAAGTTGTGGAAATGTGTATACCAAAATGTGTTATGTGCCTGTTGATAATATCAAACAATTAAAAAACGCGTCATTTTCGTTAATAAAACCTTGTCCAGAGTATGGGGCTATTATGTAAATGTATGGGGGGGGGGGGGGTCTAGAACACAAATGATCTAACTTTTAACTTTTGCCAGTAATATTAAAACATCAGGGTATTTCGGTACCAATTAAACACGTGATCTCCCTTTAGTGTATTGCAATGGTTGTGCACCATATTACACGTATTGTGATCTAATTACCAATAGTTACAATTAATAGATCACTTGTGTTGTAGATGCGACCCCATCCCAATTGATGTAGGATGGGCTTCGGTTGGTTTAAAATACCTTCCTTCTTACATTTCTGCTGTTTCGTTTGGATACTGGATGCTCGAACCCTACAATTTCGATTGTCCACAACCTGGAAGGTGGCGGAGGGAAATGTCGGAGAGGAAGACTTTTTACACCTAAAGACCGAGTGTTTTTGTGTGTTCGTGGTGTACTATTTCTTCCATGTTTTGAGCGCCTGAGAATTGTATGGCGTATCGGAATTGGACTCTAATTTAATTAGACTACAATTTCGTTTCCTTATTTTATTCTGATTTCCTGATTTTTACACCACGTTTTGAACTATTATACTTCAAAACGGTGTCCTGTCAGGGTTAGATCTATTTGATAAGGCCAACTTCAAGTTTGGTCAAAGGTCACGAGATGTAAACAGGGCTAGCGCTAATCCCAATCCTAAAACTAACCCTGGACCTGACCCTAATGCTTACTCTAACCCTAACCTCCAATCTCGCCAACAATCACGTACCCTAACCTTATTTACGTCTCAGCGACCTTGACGAAAATTGAGCTGGCCTTATTAGTCGTTCTGTCAGTGACAGTTCTGTGTAAAGCAACCGGTATATACATATATACGCAAAAGGGTCACAGAATCGCCCTCACGTGCACTTAGATTTTAAAATTCTCATAATTCACGTAGGCATGTATGCCAACTGATAAGTTCATGAGTCAGTAAGATCACTCGATTTGGACACTCGGCACACCTCTACATCGAGCCTCGGCTGTATGACGGTATGTGATATTGTACCTACGCCTATACAATTGCGATGCGGCACCGGTTTACTTATTAGGAAAACATGCCGCTTTTAAAAAGAGATTATTAAAATTGCGTCGTTCGAAGCGTGTGTAGAATATTTAGTGCAAAGTTGTCCTTGTTTGAAGAAAATCGGATAAACTTGAAAGAAAAACAGCTTCAGACTTTGAAATATTTGTATGATAAAACAGTCTTCCAAGGCGTCGTCATGGGCAACGCCGTTGGTAATCCGGGAACTTGAAAGTAATTCCAGTGGCGGACTTCGTCATACAGCCGAGGCTAGATGTAGGGTACTGGAATCTGCTGAAGTTTGCCGAGTGGCGATCTGGACAGTTTTCAAAGAAATGTCTGATCATATCAGTGAAATATATCACGCAAACATAAAAGAAACGGAAATGATAGCTTATTCTAATCAGTGTTTTGAAAAGTTATGTCCCGGTTAGAACTCCGTGTGCCTCCATTTTAGTGCTTTCAAATTTTATGTATACATTTATATGACGGGTTTCATACTTTTATTTTAGAATATATTTATATATCAGGCCTAAAGAAAGATCTACAATATGCAGATTTAGCTCTTGCATAATGCCTGTTTTATTATGAATGGATTTTAAATAATTTTCTGTGATTGTATATAAAAAAACACTGGTTTTATTAGTAGCCTATATAACTTTTATATTTTCATTATGTGTTTTCTTTAAACAATGAAGGTTGCCTGTCCAACCTCGTGGGTTTTCTCCGGGTCCCCAGGTTTCCTCCCACTGCTAAAGACCCTTACGCGCAAGGGAATTATTGAAATAAAATTAAACCATGATATGTTAGTCCCGAAATGACCTAGTCGCTGTCGAGTGGACGTTAAACCCCATTTCTCTCTCTCTTTCTCTCTCTTTAAACAATGTATTCAATACATTACCATTGCCTTTGATTTCTGACACTCCTATGTTTTACCCATATCAAAGATCTGGTCATTTAACGTCCACTCGGGACTAACATATTGTTCATATGTTAGTCCCGAAATGACCTAGTTTGTGTCGAGTGAACGTTAAACCCCATTTCTCTCTCTCTCTCTAACATAATGGTTCAATTTTATTTCAATAATTCGCTTGCGCGTAGGGGGTCTTTAGCAATGGGGGGAAGCCGTAGGACCCGGAGAAAACCCACCAGGCTGGACAGGCGATCCTTATACTCCTTGTCACATACAAGCGGGGAATCGAAACCACGCCACTTTGACTCAATAATGACAGACCCTCTGATACAACGAGCGCACCAATCCCTCTTTTCATGAAAAAATCAGACTGTAATGTAATTCACTTATGTTTGCTTTAGCAAAGTATAAATGGCACACCCATTTAGTGCAAACCACTTAATATTAATATTATTAACTTGGAGTTGTATGTACCAATATTTTTTTTTATATACACATTATGTAATTTTATTATAATACCATGATGTAGCACTTTGACTTATTTTATTAAGCTCTTCAGACACAGCAACACAGCAATACAAAGAAGGGACATTAAATAGAATATCAAATCAGACAACAATACCGGTTTGCACTCTTGATGATTTACCGTTCTCTAATACGTCATGTGGGCCTACTAGACTAAGGGCGAACGAAGAGGCGGATAGGCTCGCACTAAAGGGGTCACTGGAAGAACTTAGTGTCGAACTCCCTTACAGCATGAACGAATTTAAAAGTATGGTTGGACTACGCATCAGCTCTGAATGGGGAAACTCCCTTCTCGGCACATACAGATGCACATCCGATGATTCCTTCAATGCTAAGTTATCTGCAAATCATCCCAGAAGGAAAATCTGCCGGAAAAGCTGAAGATCAAAGAAACGCTGAGATCTCGTACCTTTAAGCCTATAAGGTGCAGTTGTGGGACGGACGTGTCTCCTCCTCATATCTTAGTAGACTGCATGTGCTCGCCTAACAGCCGAAAGGAAACCCCTCACGGATAAACTTAACACGGCTCTCAGTGTTCCGAACTTACTTTATCCCAAATTAAGCAAACACGAGATCTATGAGTTAAACTACGAATTCGCGCGTGACATTAGTATCCTAGATATGATGATGTGACCCCACAGGGACGAAAAGAATGTTCTACTCTGTGAAGACATGGGGATCTACCGTGGGGATCTACCGCAAGACCCAACGGACGGGATCCATAAGTGATCATCCCGAGGGCTACTGCTAGTCGGACGTCCCTACGTTAAGGGATGCCAGGTGCCCTATGGGGCAGGTTTTCTTTTGGTGGTAATGCCTATGGCAAGACAATGCCTGTTCCGGAAAACATTGCTGCATCCTTGATTCAAGGCCGACAGGCGGTGGGCCCTAGGGCTGGACTGGCAGTCCAACCTACAATCTACCTACCTTAACTAAGGTCAGGGCATCTATGGTCGTAACATCAAGGTCGGACAGGCGGCGCGCCCTAGTGTCCGGTTGACAGTCAGACCAAAACTTACCTACCCTAACTAAGGTCGTAGCATCTATGGCAAAGCGGGCCAGACTGCGTACGCTCGCCATTCTTCCTTTTCTATTTCCCAGACTTTCTCCTTTCGATGAAATTTACCTAGGGCATTTCCCTGCAAAAGCATAATGACTTACCCAAATCAGACTGGATCAAACCTATCTCCTATGGCTTCCTCTAGTAAGTTTCTCAGAAAACACTTGTCTACGATGTCACCCTTGGTGGAAGTGGACTTAAAACTCTAGTAACGAACGAACGAGACAACAATAACTCAGCTGTAGCACAACACCTCCAGTCCAACCCTGGACACAGAATCCAGTCATATGAAACCCTGACAGCTAATCTCCCAATAGAAAAGACACGGAAAATAATGGAGGCAATACATATCAGAAGGAATAGCCCAGATCTTAACCGTGATACAGGGATATTCTTGCCCAACGCGTATGATCAATTAATTTAAATAACAGCCTTAAAAATGCTATCAAACAAGTCGAAATAGATCAGTGGAATATTCGCCAAAAGTCCGATCCAACGTTCGACTTATTCCGATGTGTCCAAATAGAATTATCTCCCCATCTGGTTTTTTTTTTTTTTTTTCATTCTGGAGTTCCCATCCCAAATATAAACACTGTTGCCTTATATTCATAAAAGCCCTTTCTATTGTCCGGATAAGCTGTTATAATCGCCAGATACTGTGTGAAAAATGTGGTCAGGTGTTTTCTTGTATTGTCGTTCATCATTAATGTTTGAAAACATATGAAAAATATTCTTTTTACAATTAGAATCACTATTAGCCCCAAATGACATGTTCAATCTCATAAATGCAAATGAACTAGAATTTTTGTCTTGCATATTCAGTCTTGATCCGTACAAAACAATACTTAAACCAGACGCATAACTTCTTGTTTAGAAATGTATTTTACACTTTGTATTCGGTGCTTTACGGAAGGTTAGATTGTCTCCTTTAAATAATGACCAGTATTTTTTGTGATTCAAATTTATAAAAATGAAATGAAATGAAATGGGGTTTAACGTCCTACTGTTCTGCTCCTATACTGGGCTAATGAAGACGGGCATACGCCATACAGTGTGCTATGAGGGAAATTTTGCCCGGGCAGCGGCACTATCGCCTACTCTTATATCGAATTCCAACTGCCAGGGGATCTTTTACGTGCATTCCAATATATACACGGGACCTCGGGTTTTCGTCTCATCCGAAGGACTAGACAGCTGTCCTTGTCAGGCCCTGCGTCCTGCATCACTGACAAGGGGAAACGACGCCGGAAAATCTGGATGAACTTTCTCGGCCAATGCAGGGATCGAACACCCGACCTCCAGGCTAGCGAGCTAGCGTCTTACCCACTTAGCCACGTGATCCCCGATTCAAATTTATAATTTGAATACATTATTAAAACATGTTTAACTTATTTGTGTTTAATTGCAATCTTATCTGGAATCTTTTATATTTATAATCGTATGTGTATATTTATTATTTATTATGTATTTATTATGTAATTATGTTTGAAAATCTTCGGAATTCTCATTAAAAAGAAACTATTTTATTTAATTGACTTTCATGGAATTACTGGGTCAATATAAAGGACTTTGCAATGGTTGAATTGCTATCAAAAAACGATGTATCACTACGCCGTAATGTAATCAGGTTCAGTAAAAGTGAAGTTTATGGCAAAGAATTATATTTATCTATTTGTGCATGTAAGAAGGGGTTGGGTGATAGATAAAATCTCTCACTCGTCTTTTTTGATATCAAAAAAATATCAACAATCGTCGATAAAGGAAAAAAAAAATATCAACAATCGTCGATAAAGGAAAAAAAAAAAAAAAAAACACTCGGCAGAGCCTCGTATTTTTACTCTATCGACTTGTGTTGATATTTTTTGATATCAAAAAAGACTCGTGGGAGTTTCTCTATGTCTTCACCACATTAATCACTTCCTGTATTCTGCTAACATCGCAACTACTCAGTGATCCCATGGATCGTTAAAGATGGGTTCCCGCGTACAAAATGGGTGATTTAATGGTATATACGGACTAAAAACATATTCAAACTAATTAATTTGTCATAATTTTGCTTCAAATCCTTCTCAAACATTGTAATTGCGAAGGAATATCCTGCTATAAAAATTCGATCAAACCAGGTCATGTCTACGTCACGTGACTTACCTCTCTTGGAAGTCAGAGGAGAATTCATTGCATACATAAGACGATGTTGTCTTTAATCGCTTAATATTTATTACAAATATCGAATCCTAATTAAATTCTCGGATTATCCACTACCCGTGTCTTTTTCCTTCATTTTTATCTCAGAAAGTGTTGTACGTCTGACTCCTCATAAAGTTTTTCAACTTGTACATCAAGCTCTCAGTGTTCGCGTGTGACCTTTGAATCACGCGTGCAGAAATTCCTAATCGTCGGGCTGTTGATTAGGGGAACCCTTACATTTTTGTCCTGTATACACCCCATGAGTGTTTTTCGGGGAATCCAGTATTTTTCTAGTAAGATTGGATATCTCTACTTTCCATATATACCAAAATTACCATACTTTTATTGGAAATAACCACCCAATAAATACTTTTCTGGGAACCCATCTTTAAATAACTTATTAATGTTACTAATTGTGTTT